AGAGGCTGGGCCTGAGCATGAGCAGGGGAAAGTCAGGGGAAATAGTTATTTGCCTTATTTTGGATACAGCGCCTGGGTGAGTGGCGGAAGCTAGCCTTCATCCCAAGTGGTGCTTAAATAACAACACCGAGCCCCTCTGTCAGAATTTTGCGGAAATAACAGCAAACCTGAGAAAAATTGCAAACTGTCCACTCTGACCAGTCAGGGCCACTTACCGTGATGAAAACCATTCTTATTCAAGGGGAAACTATACTGGATTTAGAGACGAGGCCAATCAAGGAACAAGTATCCAACCCTCGGCAAGCATTCACTGAGCTCCCTTCACATGCAGTGTGAGGGTTAACTGTAGAAGCAGGCCATGAATTTGCAGTCTCCACCAGGATGATGGGGGAAAGGCAGAGAACCCATAGAATAAGAGCTGTGCCTGTGTACTGGTCAGGCACAGGCCCAGGAACGTTTTTGCATCGTTGCCAACTCACCCACAAGGCCTCCTGAGTCCTCCCAGAGAGGCTGGCGTCTGCCCGAGACAGAACTTGGGGGAAATTGATCCTGGGAGGGCTGCCACCTCCTGCAGAGGATGGAGAGGAAGGGAGAGAGGGACTAAAGGTCCAGGGAGAGAGGCAGGGGGCAGGCAGCATAAAGGTCTCCCCTGCAGGCGGGAGTGTTGTGTGCAGGAATCCCACACCACCTCAGGTGGAAACCTGCCAGGGGCCCCCTGCTGCCTCTCAAATGGAGGCCCTATTAGGCCCTGGGAGGTCTGGACCCCGCATCACCAGGTTCCTGCTGGCAAGTTCTCATCAGCCTCTGCCCTCCAGGTGACCAGCATCTACCCGGCCCTCAGATTTGCCAGCCTGGTCCACAGCCCTTCCCTCTAGGGTGGCCAAACCAGCCCGATTTGCTCAGGACCGAGGGGTTGCTGGGACACCAACTCCAAGTTTTCAAACAAGGCCAGTCCGTGGCAAACTGGGGTGGGTTGGTCACCTTGTTCCCTGAGGCCCAGACTCCCCACCTGACACCTGCCCACGTTCAGCTCTCAGCCCAGCAGCCAGTTGCTCAGGCGAAGCTTTCCCATCTGTGCCTCCCGCCCCATCCGGCCCTAGCTGGACCCACCTCTGGCTTCTTCACTTCTCCTGTGTAGCTCTTCTTACCACTGCAATTGTGTGGCTAGTTGTGGAGTTAGCTTCCTGATGGCTAGAAGACTGTAAGCTCTCTGTGGGGTGTTCACCGTTATGGTCTCAGCACTTTGCACCATGCCTGGCAAATGGCTAACACCTAATAAATATTTGTTGAATGAGAATTCCAGAGCACCACTGAAAATGTTTATATATCCCTCAATAGTAATAACAACAATAATTAAAATGCATATATAGCAGACATTTAATCTGTGCCAGACTTAAAAGAGTTCCTCACTGTTTTCAGCCTAGATGATAATTGTATATGTGTCTTCTTTGAAATTCAGTAAGCTATCCATATGTCTTTATGTACTTTTTAAGTATATGTTATTTTTTCACAATAAAAAATATAAAATTGAAGTTCTGGGTATGTCTGTGTATCTATGTGTTCATGTGCAAATATGTGTGTGTGTGTGTGTGTGTGTGTGTGTGAGAGAGAGAGAGAGAGAGAGAGAGAGAGAGAGAGAGAGAGAGAGAGTGTTTTGTTG